GGGGGCGACGAGATCCCGATAGGGAAGGGGGGAAGACAGGATCGAAGTCAGGAGGGGCATAGGCGGTTAACAGGGAACCCCACTTTTAGAGCCCTGGTTAACCTCTTCAACCCTGAAAAGTGCATTGGAGATCTATGAATCGGTGGCAAGTTTGGTTAAAATGACCCTTGGTTTTTGTTAGGCCTGACAAGTAGTCTGAAAATTGAGGCCTCCGTTAACCGTCTCTCCTGCCCTACAAAAAGAGAGAAGCATTCCTGGGCGCGATCTTGCCAGGCACCACCACCCCCGCGGGACATCCGCCTGTTGGAGCAAAGGTTCCGGGGAAACGAACTGGTGCTTGAAGCGCAGAAAGCGGAGAAAGATGATACAAAACTCAACCATCTATCTAACTTCCTGAAACGTGTGAAAAGACACAGTTAGTTAACCAGTGAAAAGACACAGTTACTTAACCAGTGAAAAGACACAGTTACTTAACCAGTGAAAAGACGCAGTTAGTTAGCTTCCAGGCATTCACCATCAGCAGTTAGGCAAAACTTCCCCACAGCTAGTTACCTCCCAGACAAAAGACAAAACTTCGCCACAGGGCCACAGTTAGTTTTTAACTCCCAGAAGACAAAAAAAAAAATCAACCATCTGACTTCCTCAAAACCAGTGGAAGACACAGTTAGTTAACCAGTGAAAAGGCACAGCTACTGTCAGTTACTTAACTCCCAGACATCACCATCCCAAGTTAGACAAAACTTCCCCACAGTTAGTTTTTTTAACTCCCAGACCAAAAAAATCAACCATCTGACTTCCTGAAAACCCAGTAGAAGAACAAGGATACAATTAGTCAACAAGGACAAGGACATCACCATCAAGTGCTGTTTGACATTCATTCTGTTGGGTAATTATCACAACCATGCACCCCCCCTCGCATATTGCCTTCCTCCCTCCACACACTTCCCCCATTCACCACATGTATGTACCTTCCTACTGTCCTTTCCCCCCATACCCTCCATACCCCCCCCAACCTCATTCTCAAGCAAGGAGGCCAAATCTATATCGTAACTCAATAATCGCCGCGATAGGCAGACTCTAAATTGCCGAACCTAATAATTTTGCACCCGAATGAGTTGAAGTTTGAACCGGTCCCCTACGAGGCCGGTACATCGAAAGCGCGGCCTCCTTTCTTTCTACCACACAAAATTTCAGTCCACCGGACTCCTCACACCGGTGTTTAACATCCAATCAATACGCTGAACAATATTCACTATTTAGCCTTCTCTTTTCTTTCCCTTTTCTTTTTCCTATCATTTTTTTCGGTCACATCTCTACACTCAATCACCAGCACCCCGCTCTCTCCCCCTTCCCCCCAAACCCCGCCTTGCTCCCCCTCTCCTCCCCCTCTCATCCACCACCTCGTAATCTCTATACCCTCGACATCCTGGAGTTGCCTCAGGAACTTAGCATCGAGAGTCGAGACTAAGCTACCCCCTCACCACACCCCCACCCCACCCCCACCCCACCCCCACCCCACATCGAGGTCGAAGACAGTGAGAAACTCTGTCACAACGTACTGAAAACCATTTTAGATCCAACAAATGCACCAAAAATGTTTTTGTTTTTTTTTCTCGGCGAATGTTTTCAGTCACATATCTATCTACACGGTCTCACAGCCGCCTCCCTCTCTCCTTGCCACTCTCATCTCTGTATCGTTGTCACCCCTGAGTCGATGAAGGCAGCAACCAAGAAGAACCTTTCAGAAGCTAGCACCAAACTAACATGCTACCTGGAAGATTTTTCTTCAGTCTGCCGAAAATCAACCCTGCTGGGTGCTGCTAGGCAGGGATGGATGCTCATATCCCTCCCCCTCCTTTCCCCCCCCCACCCAGCAGCCCCACGTGGTTTGGAAAAAAAAAAACAAAAAAACACACCCTACTGTAGCATACAAAGCAGCATTTCCATGCCATGCTTCCACCCCCCATCTCGATTGATCCGTATCGACGACCATCCCCTCCCCATCACCGTCTTCCTTTTCTCCATATCTGTACACGGTCCCAAAAACGAGCAAAAGGGAATCTGCGCCAACTCGGGCACTCCAAAATTACCAATCGAATCATCAGAACCTAGCAATGCACCAGGGTCTGACTTCTTGCCGAGCTGCTAAATGACCTGCCAGCTATTTCATGTCAGTGGGGGGGGAGATGGAGACGGTTAGCGATTGGGATCGAGACGGTCGATCCAGAACTTGGAGACAAGATGCAATGAGGCCATAAGAGATGCTGAGAATAATGATGACAAGTGATGATGATGGTGATGATGATGATGATGAGCATGATGACGATGATGATGTTGATGGCCATGCTCAGTTAGAATGGTAATGGTGAAAATCGTGCCTGACATCGATGACGACAAATATCATGAGAGCCCTTGATGATGACGACGACAAAACCAACGAGCACAGCAGCCGCAGCAGCGGCATCAGGAGGAAGAAGAGAAGAAGAGGAAGAAGACGAAAAAGACAAAAAAGAGGAGGAACAGAGGAGGAAGAGAGGAGGGAGAAAAAAGGAGAAAGACAAAGGAGAAGCGGAGGAAGACGAACAAAAGGAAGAAGAGGAGGAGGAGGAAGAGGAGGAGGACGAGAAGACGGAGACAAGGACGAAGACGACGACGAAGAAGAAGAAGACGAAGAGGAGCACAATCACAGTTAGAGCACCCCCCTTCCTCCCCCTACTTCCATGCCTTCCAACGACAAAGATGAAGACGACAACGACGAAGATGACGAAGAAGAAGAAGACGAAGAGGAGCACAATCACCCTTAGAGCAC